CCGGGGATCTGGGGCCCTGGGGGAGGGCTGGCTGGGAAGCCCAGAGCTTCAGGCTTATCTCTGTAAACAAAACTGAAGATTAGAGTCCCTGGGGAGAAGAGGGAGCTGGGGCTTGCGGTGGGAGCATTTTTGAGCTGGAAAAGCCCTGCATGCAGGCAGAGGGGGCAGAGTGGAGGCCTGGAAGGGCAGGGCTGTCCAACTAATTCACAATCCTGCCTCCAGGCTGGGCTCTGTTGGCCTCTGCAGACTCTGCCTCTGTCCCTGTCACCTCTTCTGAAGGCTGGGCCTGATCACCCTCTCAACAGAGGCTCATCAGTAAACTTCCACCACGTTCCCCATTCGGCTCCCAACTCTCATCCTTATTTCAGCTTCTGTCCCTTCCTTTTTTAATGTTCTGCTCCCTCCCTGCAGCGGGAGCTGAGACGGGACTAGGGCCGGGGCAGGAAGCACTCCCTGAAGGCACAAAGTTTAAGGGACACAAAGAAAAAGTTCAGCGACGAAGACTCAAAGCTTGTGCATTTCTTTCTTTAGAGTAGGCTTGATGTGCAATGTGGGGCTTGAACTCAAGACCCTGAGATTGAGAGTCAAATGCCCCGCTCACTGAGGCAGCCAGGCGCCCCAAGGTTCACAGTATTTTTTTAAAATTTTTAAACATTTATTTATTTTTGGGACACAGAGAGACAGAGCATGAACGGGGGAGGGGCAGGGAGAGAGGGAGACACAGAATCCGAAGCAGGCTCCAGGCTCTGAGCTGTCAGCACTGAGCCTGTCGCGGGGCTGGAAGAACCCACAAACCGTGAGATCATGACCTGAAGTCAGATGCTTAACTGACTGAGCCACCCACATAGTATTTTAATCCAATATTTTAAAAGCTGAAACTAGGGGCACCTGGGTGGCTCAGTCGGTTGAGCGAACGACTTGGGCTCAGGTCATGATCTCACGGTTCGTGGGTTCAGGCCCCTAGTCGGGCTCCGTGCTGACAGTGCAGAGCCTGCTTGGGATTCTCTCTCTGTGTGTCCCTCCCCTGCTTGTGCTCACTCTCTCTCTCTTTCAAAATAAATAAATACACTTAAAACAGTATAAAAATAAAAAAATAAAAAGCTGAAACGAATGCAAAATAATCCACGATGGACAAAATATTAAGATTTTTAAAAAGGTAGGACCAGACCCTGCACTAGCATGACCTTGCCTCGCCGTCCTCACCCTGTCAGGGCCCTGGCTCTAGTAAAATTTTATTTTTTGATAGTCCATTACTATTTTTATCTTGATTACAGAGTTTTCTGGCGCCTCTGTAAATTTCGTTCCGAAGCGAGTGCCTCACTCGCCTCAGTCTACTCCTGGCCCGGGAATGAGTGAAAGAACGAATGAATGGCCGTACCTCTGCGGAAAAACTGGGCGGCAACCCTTAACTCCGCCCCGCGCGC